ATATAAATGTAACACAAAATATTCAATAGTATTCAATAGTATACTATTGAATACTATTGAATATTTTGTGTTACATTTATAATCAAAATCTAACTGATCAAAGGATTTCTCGAAATATTGATGTACTTTTATAACAACAATTTTAAATTAACTTGTGTTTAACAAAAGTTATACTTTAATTTTATGTTATTAAAATTTCATTTATTTGGAAACAGTTGCTTACTATTCTTATTGCAGAAACTGTGACATGAAATTTTTAAATTTACAAAATATTATATTGTTATATATCGTTGAAAAGAGCATTAATGCAGTATTTCAACGGTGAAAAAATTATCAAAATCGAACAATTCAAAAAAATGTTATGAGGTTTTTAGTGACAATTTTTGAATATATGAAATTGTTAAAGAAACTGTGGTCAAAACAATTTTTTTTGTATCGAAAATTGTTATAAATATGCAAATTCTTATTGAAATTTCTATAATTTGGTACCAAAAGAAAGATGTAAGAGTAAGCTACAATTTTATAGTAACATCTACCCACAGGGCAAGAGTGGACGGCTAAAGGGGACCCCGAACTACGACTTTTACCACCAAAAAATTGAATATTATATCATAAAAAAGTATTTTAATACTAAAAATTGTCTTTTTTATCAAACAGAAGTTCCAATATTTTGATCCCAGCTCACCACCATATATGAGATGTGTACCTTTAAGTTAGGGGTGGATGTGGTGGTGCTTGTTTAACACGTACTATTAACAAAAATAATTCTTTTTTTAAAAATAATATTATCTCCAATTAAATAAGTAATCTAGAACAAAAAATAAAATTTAAGTTTCACTAACCACTAGTTGTACTTTACAACTAGTGGTTAGTGGTGTATAACTCGAGTCAAGGTAAGGGGCGTACGCCCGCGCAGCACCGCCCCTCCCCCAATCTCCTTCCAACTTAAAAAAAAATACTTTACTACATTACAACTTGTTAGTATGGTATACTTTTACTTAAGAGGTGGGGGCGTGCGCCCGCTTTCGCCTAACCACCCCTCACCCTCCAATTTTTTTTTGTGTCTATTTTTGTCATTTAAAAAAAGAAATTTTTTTTTACATTTTCAAGCGTCAAAAATTAGTATAAACAGACATTTTACCACTTTACAAAAAGCAAAGTTTATCCAGTTTCACATAGGAAAGAGAAAGTGCCCCTCCAATCTAAAAATTTTTTTATAACTTTAAATTGAAAAATATTGTTAAAATTAAAAGAAATAAAAATAAACAAAAATTTTAACACTTTAATTTTTAATACAAGATGTGTAAGAGTATTTAAATTCTTAGGCAAAAGGCTGTTTGATTCTTTAACATCTAACCTAAAAAAAAATGTTTTAAAAATACAATACTTAAATTATGTAATTTAGTGTAAACAAAATACCCATTGTAATTAATTAGTATCTTGGCTTTTAGTAAACAATTTGAAATTCCACTAATGAAACAAAATATTAATCATTTTTTAACGATAGACATCACAAGAAGGTAAGCCAGAGCCGCTTATCAATAATTTGTGCAAGTCAAAACACTTCTGTACCAATTTTATAAGTCACAACACTTGCGATACTTTTCAAATGTTAAGACTTTTCAAGTTCTAACATTTGCAGTATCTATTTTGGACTTATCTTTCAATTATGAAAACAATACATATTAACATTAAAAACAAATAATACACATTAACATTAAAAAAAAAAATTCTCATGTTACAACATCTGGGGCCAGCTGGAATTTTTTCATGCAATAATCACCAGCTTCAGAATCAAATTCATCTTTTTTCCAGTAAGAGGTAGCTAAAATTTTGTCATGCAATCTTTTTTTTACTTTTTCTACTCTGACATCGTATACTTAGATTGTTCAATATCATACCATTCATGATATAGTTTTCTACTAACAATTCTGTCAGACATAACATCATCTAAATCATCCAGTTGCTTTGTAGACAATTGTTTATACAAATTCTTAATCTGGCTGAAAGTCATTAACTTTTTTCTTGTTCATCCAACATTTGATGCTTGCATATCTGTCTCTTATATAATACAGATCGAAATTGAGCATGTTGTAGGCGATTTCTCTTTCTTTCTTTACGTGCTGTGAAAATGGACCATTAGTTACATTTTCTCTTCTTCGAAATTGAGCATGTTGTAGGCGATTTCTCTTTCTTTCTTTACGTGCTGTGAAAATGGACCATTAGTTACATTTTCTCTTCTTCATCCAACATTTGATGCTTGCATATCTGTCTCTTATATAATACAGATTATTATTACTTATATAATACGTGCTGTGAAAATGGACCATTAGTTACATTTTTTCTTGTTCATCCAACATTTGATGCTTGCATATCTGTCTCTTATATAATACAGATCGAAATTGAGCATGTTGTAGGCGATTTTTCTTTCTTTCTTTACGTGCTGTGAAAATGGACCATTAGTTACATTTTCTCTTCTTCGAAATTGAGCATGTTGTAGGCGATTTCTCTTTCTTTCTTTACGTGCTGTGAAAATGGACCATTAGTTACATTTTCTCTTCTTAAAGTGTACTGCTTGCAAACTGCCACATTTGACTGTTCTAGTGATCAGAAAATTTAGAAAATTAGCATAATGTTTAATAAATATATGACAAGTATTAAAAAGAAAATATGAAGACTATTTCCTCGATATCTAGGGATGATACACCTAGGTAGTTTTTTGTGGTCTTAAAAAGTAACAAATCCCTCTGGATCACTTTTACCGTCTTTAAACCTCATCTTATTCATAGCAAAATCAATTTTGACAGCTACATAATCATTGCCAAATAATTCAACTTTTCTGTTTCTAGACACTTCAATGCTGAGCGACATTCAGTAGCAATTGTATCAAGAGGGTGCAAATAAAAATTCAATTAATTCAGAGTTTTACCCCAAGTTGCACTAACTTTGCTGATATACTTCCTAATTCATGAGCCATTTGCTCAAAAGTACTGTGATGGGGTACGTTATTAATAACCACACTAAAATACTGCGTAATTTTCTCTAACAAAAATGGAATGTTACCTGTTGACACATTTGACAACTAAAATTTTTATCCTAATGTTTAAAGGAAAACACTTTTCAGTTTCAGACATAACAAGAATTATAAAGACATTTTTTTTTAAATTCCTTGCTTGAAACAGAAAAATAAAACTACAAAAATTATACAAAATTTTTTAATACAAATGTCACGATTAAAGACATAAATACCTTACTAGATATAGTAATATCCAAAGATTTTCAAAATCTTTCTGAGTTTTGTTTACAAAAATGAATTTTTCGTTTACAAAAATCAATCTGAGATTGATTGATGAGATTAATAATGATTGTTAAACAAATATCTGCTTTTTATCTAAAAGAATATTAAGAATATAAAAGAATATTATTAAGAATATAAAAGAATATAAAATGTTATATACATAGTATGTAGATTCCGACTTTCTCCCCCAACCACAACAACACCCATCGCGAATTTGTGAAAAAAAAATTTAGGTACCAAAACTGCTACACTTTTTAAATTATCTGCTACATAATATCCTTTCTTGAAATTTGGCAGGTGAATAAATAAAGGATGTAAAAAAATGTCTCAGTGGTTTTGCAAAATGTCTCAGCATTCCATCAATACAAATTTCACGTGACAACATCAAGTATATTTTCAATATCTATAAAGTCAACAAAAAGTAAACCATCCATACATAATTGATTCATAAAAATATAGATCTAAGTCTCTTCTTTTCAAAAATAATCTATGTTGGTATACTTTTCTAAAAAGAAACACCACAACAAAACGTTTGTCTGACGCTACCTCAAAAAAAAATTCAAAAAACGTGGCACAGAATTTTAGCACAAAATTCGATTCCGTAAAACGGCTATTTCCGCATACCTAATTTTAGTTCGACTGACTCCTCATAGTTTGCAAAATATTACATTTTAAATTTTTCGGTACGCATAAGTTATACCTCAACAACCAATCGGATTTAACTAAATTTATCGGCTTTTTTTTCACAAAAAAAATCTGGCTTCCTGCCTTAGTACACTTGAGTGCCTCTCCATGCTTTAACTTTCTTGTAACGAATTGTTCGTAAGCTGTAAATGCATCAACGGCAAAAGCTTTTAGCAACGCCTCTTTTATCCGGTCAAAATCTTCTTTATCACTATCTGCTAACTGTTGATATACTGCAAATGCACCATTTGTGAGACGGAGGGGAAAACACTCGCCAGATCAGTTACACCAATTAGTTTGCATACTAGTTCCACTTTTTCCAGCCATTCTGCAACTGATTGTTGATCGTTTCCACTAAACTCTGGATTTAACTTAAATCAATTTTAGTCGACATTTTTGCCGAAATAGCTTGTTGTTTCATATCGAAATCGACTTTATAAGTTTAGCGTTAAACGCCTCATATTTTCTAATGCAACTCAACATAATTTATATACAATCATATTTTCTTGGTATTTAAAACTATGACGCAAAATACAGTCATATTTAGTCATATATACAATCATACTCTATTGGTATTTACATCTATGACTTTATATTATATACAACTATTTACAATTAAGGCAAATCGATCGTTAACAATCATAAAATGTAATTACACTTTACAGGATAGTTTTTAAACTAGCAGCTTTCCTAGTTTTATAACCGACCTGTTTTTTGCTTTCAATGTAAAGATAATACAATCTTTTGCCCTCACTGCAAAGCCATTCACCATCATTTTTTGTAAAGTAAAAAAACTTCATTCAATGGATCGTGCGTGAATGACTTGAGTTGATAAAAGTGGAAAACTTAATTTCTTTTGCCATAACTTGTTACTTCTTTCTCAATTTACTTTCTTTTTAATTTGGTGTTATTTTCATTTAAAATATTATGTAAAAATATTTAGAACTAAATGGTGGTGTATACATAGCAACTTTTTATAGTAATTTTAATAAAAGTTCTTTAATAAATATATCAACAATTATCGATAAAGATCTAAATATATATTTCAAAACAAAAATTAGAAAAAAAACTATGATTGTATAGGAGAACTTAAACTGTTGATTGTATAGGAGAACTTAAACTGTTGATTGTATAGGAGAACTTAAACTGTTGATTGTATAGGAGAACTTAAACTGTTGATTGTATAGGAGAACCTTCAATAAAAAAACATGTGAACGTAAAAGTAGCTGTATTTTGGAATGAAAACAAAAAGTTAATTTAGTTTTTATATTAAGTCAGAGTGTAAAGTTTTTATATTAAGTCAGAGTGTATTGAATAAAAAATAATCCAATTTATTGATGATACTTTGAAAACATGTTATTCTTTTACGACTTGCAACTTAATTATACTTTTGTAAAAATATAGTTACTATCATAAGTTATTGAAAATAAGGTGTATGTGTGTGCGTGCGTGTGTTTGTGTAAAAGTTGATATTATCCACGACACAAAACAGATTGTTCTCCTCTATCAAGACAGCATCTAATATCAGAAATATTTTCGCAAACTTCTAAGCACCAACCAGTAACGTCAACGCACACGCATTGGCTAATTCCTTTCTTTAATGTAAAAGTCAAAACATGAGTCTCCTGTCTTCCAGGAACTGTTCGGTTACGAAAACATTTTTGAAATAACTTTGCATGACACGAATTATTTTTCATGATGGCTTCCCAGGCATTTCCATACAAACGGTTGTCATCATAAAAACAACGCATTTTTATAGTCATATAAGGTTCTAAAATAGTTGTAATACAAATTACAATAATATAAACAAACTAAATATTTATATCCGTAATAATAATTCTTCTATTTAAAGATCAATAATAAATGGTTTAAATGTTGTATAACAGAAACTAATTGCTTTATAAAATCAAAAAAAATTGACCTTCACCCCGAATATCTTTAACAATAGAAAAGCTTCCAATTTCTTCAATTGATTCCAGTTTATAAATCCACTCATAGGAAACGTAACATAAAAGCCATCGTATTGTTACAAAAGAAATACCTACACACACATATATAGTTTTCCCTTTATATATATATATATATATATATATATATATATATATATATATATATATATATATATATATATATAGGGGCAAAAGTATATAAAGCCATCGCGTTCTTTTGCTGTTTTTTTCTGATGCTCATCCAACAATGATTCAATAATATCAATGAAAACAACAATACCAACGTAATAGTATCAATGAAAACAACAATACAACACACATCTAAAAATAGTTCTATTGGTCCAATGTAAAAACGTCGCAAAAGTTAATAGTTCTAAACCCGACGATAATTCAATACATACGGATCAATACTGATCCCATCACAACTTAAAAAGTGTTTGTATCGAAAAAAATGTTTTTTCAACAAAGATAATTTATTATGGACAAAACAGGTTTGTCAACTCTTTCAAACAAAATGTCTAATGCTGTGAGTTCCAGTGGTAAAATTACAGTCATCAAGATTTGTAGTGAATAGGAGATAAATTGTTGCTGCAGGTTATTGTACGAACACTACTGAGATTTTTGTTCTCTCTGCATTGAATTTCCAAAGAAAAAGGTTGAATCCATTATTACTTAAAAATGTGTTTTCCTGGCTTTGATTGATGACACAGGATAAAAAAAAAAGAAACTGTATTAGACCGAATTGAGTTTAATAAAAATGCATTAAATGAAAATTTTTTGAATAAAAATGCAATAAATGAAATGATGCAAAAATAACTCGCAAGTAGAACAAACGTCTCTTTTAATGGTTTAGTAACATAAAAGTTAAAAAATTGTTCTTCTTTCACATAAAACTTAGGGAGAAACTTAAAAAAAGAAAACCACCAAATAGTCTACATTTCATCTCTATAAAAAAAAAAAATGGAAAAGAAATAGAATATGAAACTAGAAACAATAAAAGTTGATCAGATAAAAAAAAATTAATTTTAATAATGTTATAAAAGCTAATGAAGTTATGGATACTAAAAAAAAAAAAGGTTTTTATTTTGTTAGTATCAAAAAAGGTAAAATTATTAAAAACAAAGAAATAATTTGCCCACCGTCAAAGTAAATGGATGAAGAACGAGTTCATTGTTAACTTGGTAGCGTCAAGAATGCGCTAGTTATGAAGGAGTTATTTGTTAGTTATTTTATTAATTTATTATTACATTCTCGCTTTCTGGCTCATACACCCATTGGTGGAAATCGAGAATTGAGATATGACTAAACTCACTGACCAACAAAAGAATTGTATAGTTTTGATGATTAACAAAGCATTTGAAGAGCTAAAGAATAACTTTCAAGTGAAACTAAATCAACAAACTAAACTATTTGAAGTGAAATTAAAGGAAAAAGATGCAGAAATAGCTGAACTTAGTGAGAAAGTAAAAAGACTAGAAGAAAACAATGCAAATTTACCACCTTCTAGTTCACCTGCTGTTTGTTACAGCCAAATTGCTAAGCAACTAGCCAAACCAGGTTCTGAGCTGTATAATGTTAGCATCAAAGTGTCAAAAAGTCATGAAATATTATCCATTAAAAAGTCTAAAAATGTTGTAATTGTTGGTTTGCCTAACTCACAAAAAACTAAAATCGAGGATCGCAAGACAGATGACGAGAACATGGTCAACGAATTAATACGTTCGTTGAACAGACGAATAAGAATAAAATCAACATTCAAATTAAAATCTAAAGTTTCCTTGGTAAACAATGCATCTGAACCGTTAGTTGTCGAATTTGAGAATGAAGTAGCACGAAACGAGATGCTGGCTGCAGCAAGGGAACTGTCAACAATTAGCACAATTAAATAAAGAAAGAAAGGAGGCGAACGAGGACTTGCAACGCAATAGTAACCTAGACCAGCCCTTTCGAATTGTCATTAGAAGCGGAAAATTACTGTGCATCGACTTCACTACAACAAAAGACATTGGCTACCGTAAAGTTTAACCATTTGTCAAAGAAAGCGTTGCCAAGCAGGCCCGGAGGGGCTCATATCAACCAATCTTATAAATCTTACCAAAACCTGAGTAATGTAAAACTTCCTATTTATTTAAAGTAAAATACTAGTACTAACTATAAACCAATTAAATTTTATTATACTAATGCTACCTCTTGTAACTCTAATAAATTATATGAGCTGTCCACACTTGCTTTGGCATATGAAATTGATGTTATTGCCATTGCAGAAACTTGGTTTAAATTGGATTCGATTAAAATAAATGATGGCTATGAACTATATCAGGCAGTCAGGCAGATACTGATAGAATTGGAAGAGGTGTTGCCATTTATGTAAATGAAAGACTTACAAATATAGAAATTGTAAATGTGCATCTTAACAACATCGAGATTGAACAAGTCTGGTGCTCAATAAATTGTAATAATTTTCATTTAATTATTGGTTGTGTATATAGAGCACCAAACTCTACAGCTGATTACTCAAAATTGATTCTAGACTCAATCAGAACCGCTTCAAAACTCAAAAGTGGAAAAAAATACACTGATCTCATAGTGGTCGGAGATTTCAATTTTCCTAATATAGAATGGACAGATGATGGTCCAATAATTCATTCAAATGGAAACTCAATTGAACATGAATTTATTAAAGTTTTAAATGACTGTTCTCTATACCAAATAGTAAATTTTCCAACATTCCAACAAAATGACTCTGTTTCAGCAGTTAACACCCTTGATCTTGTTTTAGTTTGCAATCCATATTGCATTGATTTTCTTCAATGTGGTCCACAGTTAGGCCACTATGAAAAGGGAAGGTACCATTACTCCATCACTTGGCAATATTTTACTAGTCTTAGTAACAATACAGTACTCACAAAAAATAAGTTTTGCTTTAAAAAGGTAATTTTTTTCAAATGAATAAATACTTGAAACAAGTCAACTGGGTTGAGCATTTTTATAACAAATCAGCCTGTGAATGTTATGAGTTATTTTTGCATACATATAATGAATCTTGTCGATTGTTTATTCCTATTTTGAACAATAAAAAAAAGAATAGTCAACCCTGGTTGGATGCAAAAGTTAAAAAAGCAATAAAGATTAAACATTCTATGTTTTATTCAAATTTGCATCGGCAAAGTCAAGAATCTCGAAAGGCTTTTAACAAAATGTGTGCTAATGTTAAAAAGCAAATCAAAAGATCAACTCGAGATTACGAAATGGATTAAGTAAAAAGAACAAAGCTTGCACCAAAACTTTTATTCTCATACGTTAATAGAAAACAAAACATTAAAACGCAAATTAGAGCAATCAAGAAAAAAAAAGATTAAGTAACAACTGAGATATCAGACATATCAGATATATTAAATAGGCAATTTCAGTCAGTCTTTGTTAATGATAACGACCAACCAATACCCGAATTCTTGCAAAGATGCGAAAACCAGTGCGATTGCAGTAAATTATCTAATATGATTACCTATAAAAAAATTCTCAAAATGTTAGAAGATATAGATGAGTCAAAAGCGATGGGTTTTGATGAAACTAGTCCGTTTGTTTTAAAGCATGCTGCAGAAGGTTTTGTGGACCCAATTGTTCATATTTTCAAATTAAGCTTTGACACTGGATGTGTCCCTTACCACTGGTCTGTTGCAAATATATCACCAATTTACAAAGGGGGATCAAAACTTGAACCAGAAAACTACAGACCAGTATCTCTAACATCTGTGATTTGTAAAATGTTCGAAAAGCTTATTCGGGACACAATTCTGCAACATTTAGTTTCAAATAGACTTATATCTGAGGAGCAAACTGGTATTGTTCCAAACAAATTACGCACAACAAATCTTATTGAGACAATTGACACAATTACATTTGAAACTGCAAAAGGTAAACCGTTATGTGTCATATATCTTGACTTTGCAAAGGCTTTTGATAAAGTAGAACACAAATGACTATTGACAAAGATTAAAGCGTATGGTATAACTGGTAAAATATATAGCTGGATTGAAAGTTTTCTTGCAAATAGGAAACAAAGAGTTTC